TTCCTGCTCCTTTCCTCCTCAGCCACCTCTGCTCCTCTTCCTCCCCCTCCTCACTGGCACACCAAAGTGTCCAAACGTTACCAAAGACTGACAAGCATGACCATGCCAGGGAGTCCAGCGCAGAACCTGGAGGATTCCTCGAGAAAGTCATAGTGTCTAAACAAAAAAGTAAAAACAGAAACAAAAAAAATACGAGAGAGAGAGGAAGGAAGGAAAGAACAAAACCATAAAAGAAGGAATGAAAGAAAAATGGGAATGAAAAAAAAAGAATGAACGACGAAGGAAAACTCCCATGTTTCCTTGGGAATGTTGGACAGGACTTCCTCAGGGAAGTGGGAACTTGTTTTAAACAAAACAAATATATTAAAGCACAAATTTCTACCAGAACTGTTACCTTCTTTACTGCAGAGCCCACAGCTTAGGAGACAATATACCACAGTGCTCTCCCCATATGGCTCTCCATGTTCCAACGTGAATCTGCTGGCTCTGGCTACTGTGCCCCAGCTGCAGTGCCCCCTGCAGTAACACCCTACCTGCTCTGTTCAGGGCAGCTCCTGTCCTGCGTGCCAGTGGTCATAGAATGGCCCCCTAGGCTGCATGTGCTTCAGTGTCTCCATTTGCATCTTCCAGACTCTCATGTATTTAATTGTCCTTGTGTGATTTGCTTTAGCCCACACTGCTCTCCTTCTCCCATCCCCTGTGCCCCCCTGTGCCCTCCTCCAGCCCAAGGAAGAAAACAGAGAAACAGACCCATCAAATGGATTATGCCAAACAGTGGAAGGTCATGGGTGGATCCAGCTGCTGCATCAACCACTCAACGGCCCCAGATGCTAAACTCTCTTTCAGCCTCTCTATTGCTTTCTGCAGCTGGGTGGACAAACTTTGATAACAGAAATGCCTCCCATTGGGGTGGAGTGGGGGCAGTGACATGCTGTCTTGACCCTGATCAGCTTGCAAGCATTGGAAAGGGAGTTGCAGCAGCCTGAGGGTCAGGATTTCTCCTCAGCTGGCTGTTGTTGTTAGTTATTTATTTCTGTCTATTCCTTTGTTGCACTTCCCCACCGCTCCGAGTCTTTCATTTCAGGCTGCAGGGAGAACCCTGGATTTGCCTTCCTTGCCACATGCCTCAGGCCCTGTGCAATCTGAACAGTTCTGAAACCGCAGTTGCTGCCTTCAGCTCCAAGGTCCTGCAGTGCGTTATCCACAGGATAGGTGAAATGTAGCAGCTGTATTACTGCTCAAGGGTAAGACAGCTGCATCCTGTCACCAGGAAGGGTCTTGGAGCAGGTGGTGTCACATCACTAGAGCAACGGTCAGAGGAGCTGAGGGGTAGAGTACTCAGTAAAGCTCTGCCGGCTTGATCCCAAAGTGGGGATTAGTCCGGTTTGTTATTTTTTCTATGGAAAAGAACAATGCAGACAGGAAGGGAGCTGGGATTTTGTCTCCATGGAGTTTGTGCTACCACCAGGAAGGAATACAGCTGAGGTCTCAAGAAAGCCTCACAGAGGTGAAGCCTCTCTGCTGCAGTTAGGTCTGTCCTGCACATTACTGTAGCTCTGGGAATAATGTGGTACATTGGCACTCGCTGGAACAGCATCACACACAAGAAAGGTCCCCCCTGCGCCAACCAAGTAAAGAACCAGGTAGACTTGTAGGTGGAAATGGCTCAGGGCATATCTTACACAGCCCTCCCTGAAAATCGTAGTGTTAGGTATAGGG